TAGTACAAATAACATCACTCTATGTTCACTAGGCTTCGTTTGAGAAGCCTTAGTTGGGGCTTTTTTAATTATTTTAGACATAAAAAATAAAATAGGCTATTTAGTCTAATAAAATAAAATATCACATCTAACCCATAATTATTATATTTTTTCTCTCACAAAAAATTCAAAAAAATCAAAAATCATTTCCAAACCAAACTTTTTAACCCAAAGTTAAAATAATAAAAAAAGTAACCCAAACGGAGAGGTAAACATTGGTTTTTCCTTTCTATGGTGCACTCTATATACCAAAAATGTCACTAACCCCAAATTAGAGGGAAAAAAATCCAAATGTTTCATTGATGATAAATAAAAGGACCTTGTTACATCTAGATGGCTTGCTCAAAAAAATTATTTCTTTTTAGCTTCGTTTGAGAAGTCTTGGTTGGGACTTTTTTAGTTATTTTAGTCACAAAAAATAAAATAGACTATTTAGCTTAATAAAACAAAATATCACATCTAATCCATAATCATTATATTCTCTCTCACAAAAAATTCAAAAAAATCAAAAATCCTTCCCAAATTAAACTTTTTAACCCAAAATTAAAATAGTAAAAAATCAACTCACTACCCAGACGGAGACGTATGTAAACATTGGTTTTTCCTTTCTATGGTGCACTATATATACCAAAAATGTCACTAAATCCAAATTAGAGGGGAAAAAATCCAAATGTTTCATTGATGATAAATAAAATTAGATGTAAAAAATGAGATGGCTTGCTCAAAAAAATTATTTCTTTTTATTTTATTATATATAGGAGGTAGATGTAAAAAATGAGATGACTTGCTCAAAAAAAATATTTCTTTTTATTTAATTATAGATAGGAGGCAAAGCGAATGATTATTGAAATTACTTATCATATAAGGGATTATTTGGAATGATTTAAAAAAGTAAACTTTTTAACTTTTTATAAAAAGATGTGTAAAGTGATAGAGAGATAATGTAATTCAAATAAGATAAAAAAAAATGTGCTAAAGTAGATTGATCTAAATAATGCTATGATATATGCGCCTCTGTTGTGCATTTTTGTAGTATATATTATGAATTTTTGTGATAAATATTACGCACTTTTTTATAAAATTATGATAATTTATGATTTTAAAATAAAATTACATATATTTTGTAGTAGTGTTATACATAAAAAAAAAAAAAATGGTGGAGTTTACCTAACAAGGTGCATATCATAAAATTTCTCAATAATTTTACTTGTCATAATTTTTTAATATATGATACACCAAAACTACTATTAATGTACTGATCCATAGTTTAAATAATAATTTTTTATAGAGTTTATAGATACTAACATAAATCAACTTCATACCTTTGTTTTGTAGTTGAATATAATCTTCATATTCTCTTTTTTTTAATAATCAGTAAGAAAGAATAAAAGACTCTACATGAGATGTGTTTAATGCATATTATTTATTTATTTATATTTTTTTTCTAGTTGGGAAACAAACATGGTGGACCATCTCTCTCTGTCATCACAGGTAAAACAAACAACATATATTACATGTGACTAATTAACTTACCATCCATATGAAGATGAAGTAAAGCTCCCATCATTATTGTAATGGCTCCTGTCCCACCTGTTGGCTCGTCAGCTCGGCTGGCGAGTTTAATAAAAATATTAATATAATTAAAATAAAAAGTACAGGTTTGAACCCGATATGTGAACCCTGTTGATGACTACGTTGGACAAGGCATGGGTCTAAGGATAAGGCTAACCAGTCGAGTTGGCCCATTAGAGAAAAGAAAAATGCTTGGGAGCACTAATTAGTGCTCCCACTAATTAGTCGGCAGCGGGTTTCGTCATTAATGATGTGATGTTTTGGTCTTGAAGTTGTATTTTTTTTTTTTTTTTTTTTTTTTAATGTATTAGTGCTATTAGTGGTGATATTTTTAATGGGATGAATCATTGTTGTAGAGAAAAATAGACAGCTATGATTAGCTCATTGGCAGGCTTAACTAAAGATAAAAATTTGATTCATTCGAGAATCTACATATTAGCGACAAAGACATCTTAATAATAATGCTATAAATACACATCTTAATAATAATGCTATTAATAGATTCTCAATTTCTGGTAATGTTTTTAATGAGATAAATCATTATTGTAGAGAAAAATAGACAGCTATGATTAGCTCATTGGCAGGCTTAACTAAAGATAAAAATTTGATTCATTCGAGAATCTACATATTAGCGACAAAGACATCTTAATAATAATGCTATAAATACACATCTCAATAATGCTATTAATAGATTCTCAATTTCTGAACTATATATGCGCATCCACATGAATACCAGTAAGCAAGATTGATCAATAAATTTTATATTTTGAGTTTGTAATTTATATAATTTTATATTTTTTCTTGTAATTTATTTTTTAGATATATAATGATTCATTTACTAGCTATATTGAAACGTCGCTTTTGAAAAAAGTACACTAAGAAATTTATTAGTATCACATCATACTAACTACGTTGGAGTGTCACATTTAGAAAAAATACACTAAACAGTTTTTAATTTTTTTAAAGTATCACATTATATTCGCCACGTTGGAGTGTAACATGTCACATTTAGAAAAAAAATACACTAAGAGTTTTTATTTATTTTTTAAATGTCACATCATACCCGTCACGTTGTTATGTTTGAAAAAAGTACACAAAGGAATTTTTATTTTTTTTAGAATGTTACATCATACCCACCACGTTGTCACATTCATGAAAAGTACACTAAGGAGTTTTTATTTTTTTATAGTGTCACATCATACCCGACACGTTGTCACACTTGGAAAAAGTACACTAAGGAATTTTTAGTTTTTTTAGAGTGTTACATTGTTGGAGTATCACATTATACTTGTCATATTGGAGTATCACATCATACCTGCCACATTAATAAAATGGTATAATTATTTACCAAAATACTACCAAAATAAAAAATAGGATTACACGAAAAGAAACTCTACACTAATAAGACTTAATAGATCAATAGAAAAAATATAGAATTAATTAGAATATTTATTTGTGAGATGAGATTTATTGATAAATATCCCTACAATTAACCTTGTATTTAGATTTTAAATTTGGATAAAAATTAATTATAAATAAAATATAAGTTAAGTTTTTAGATATGCATCTTCTCTTTTCTTTAACTTCACAAATTCTTCTCCAAAATATAAATAAAAACCTAATCTAAAAAATTTAACAATTTCATAAAATAGACATACAATAAGAAAAAAGACTTGAGCTCTGGCTTAGGTGGTTTTTGATTCACTATAATGAAAGGAGATGAGCTTCTCTCCAGCTTACAAAGTAGAATAGATCGTATTATTAGTTTTATAAGGTTCACCACGGATTCCGTTTCGATAATCCGAACCGTTGAATGTGTAGAACTCGTTTAATACTTTATCTCTACAAAAAGTCATGTTGATCGGATGCCTATAGTCTCTCGATCGGAACATATTTTTGTTAACAATTTATTTTTTAAATCATATTTATTATTGACAAAAGTGTGTTCCAATTAAGGGGATATCGATATCCGACCAATACGATTTTTTATAGAGATGAAGTTCTTAACGAGTTCTACCCATTAAACTATTTGAATTATTGCAACGGAACCCGTGGTGAGTCTCACGGGCTCAACAGTACGGTCTAGTCTACTGTGTAAATTGGAGAGAAGTCCATCTCTAATAAAAATTCCAAAAAGGCAAACTTCACTTTATCTCTTGTAGTTTGGATCATTTGCAGTTTTCCCCCTAATATTTAAAAATGATCATATAACTCCCATATGGTTTGTGGACTGAAGTGTATCATTAGGCCTGTTAACAATTTAATGAAAATAATTAAAATATCTCTATATATAAATAACTTCAAGTGTGTGGATTTCGGATATTTTTGTCATTTGTTTTGAAGTCAAAGTGCACTTTAACTCCCTGTGTTTTATTTCATGTGTAATTTACCTCTTTGAAATTTGAAAATGAACATATAATCTCATTATGTCTACAACTTTTTTCACACTTACTATTAAGTTGGACGGAATGTTTAACGGTGTATTTCAGTTCACAAATCACGTGAGAATTATATGATTATTTTCTAAACATTAAGATGATAAATCGCACATGACCTAAATTATAGGAAATAAAGGGAAATTTGCCCAAATCCAAATGATCACTCTATTCCAGCAAGCCAAACATAAGATTGGGAAAGGGGTTAAGAGTCCAAACTAGTAACCCATCTGTGCAAGGCCTCATAATCATTTGGGCCTCCTAACGCACCATTGAGTTGGGTAAGAGACTTGGACCATCCCCAAATTTGTTTTGTGACCATGGTATAGGAGCAAGCTTGGGCAAGGCTTTTACCTAAAAAAAAAAACACAAAAAAGGAGAAAAGTGGGCAAGCCTCATAAATCTCCCTCAGTACAAATCTAACCGTCGATGTTTAAGTTTAAAACAAAACAATTAGATAGCTTTTAATTTACTTTTCAAAACTCAACTTTATTTTTAAAATATAATTTAGATAAAATATGCTAACCAAACATATTTTTAAAATATAATTTAAAATTACTTTCAAAACTCTCTCTTCTCTTTTTTATTTATTTGTTTATTATTATTATTCAATCAATCAATCACTTTTTCTCTCTCATCTCTCCTCTCACATCCTCTCATATTTTATACATCAATCAACCAAAAAAAATAAAAAAATTATTCTAAAATTATTTTTAAAACTCAAAACTCAAAATACAACTCCACACTTAAATCATAATTCTAAAACTAAACAAAACGAACCCTTAATTTTAAAATGTGTAATTTAAAATAAAAAGAAACTATTTTAAAATTATTTTGTGTTATTTTTAAACTTGAGTTATTGGTTTATGTCTTTCATGTGTCTTGCTATATGACAAAAATCACCACAATATCATTGCAGAGAAAGAAAGACAGATAATCTCAATCCAATAAGGATAGACAAATAGGTAGTTGTAATAGAAATAGAAATAGATCATCAACTTCAAGTATACATTTTCTAGTTCATATGCTTCTCTCCAAACATATTCCTACCATGAACAAAACAAGTTACTTCAAATTCACATTTTCCTAGTCCTCAACCAGAGGGAAAATACACAACCCTCAAAACCAGAAACAGCCTGCAATCACAACATATCATCACTATCAACCAGTGCAAAATGGTGTGGATCCAAAACTGCAATCAACCATTGTTACCGTGTCTTCATAGCTTCCATATCCTCGTTACCAAAATTTTCTGCTTCATTCCCACTACTTAAACCATAGACTGGATTTCAACCTCATTCCCACCATTCAAATTATCATCACAACGAGGCAAACACATCTCTCCGACAAAGTTTTCATCATAATTAAACTTGGCAAGCTTAAACCGTGTTTCCCCTTCATCTGGTCTTCCATCTTTGCGTTTTCTTCTCCTCTCAGATGCCGGTGAATGTCCCATGTAATCAGTGGGAACAAATGTATCGTCCAACCAATCAACCATCTCTTGATCCTCATCAGCTTTATTTTGTCCTCTCCGATTATCTTCAATGCAAAAGAAGATGCTACCAGTTAGGTTTCCGCAGTCGGGTTTGGATTCTGACATCTCATGGGCTATTTTTGATTTGCAAACTATTGCTTTAGCATGTTGTCTCAAAATGTCATGATCAAAGACTCTAACCCCTTGATCTTCAAGGCCTAGTAACCACCCTGTAAACAAAGCCAACTTAGTTAAGACACACACACACACGCAGTATAAAAGGGGAACGAAATAATTGGCAGCTTCTCTCATTAATTATTGAAGTGCAAAAAATTACGTCACCATTTCTCTCAAAAAATATATATTTATATCTCTTAAATGGGTTGTAACACACCCAGAAAGTAAATTCCGAACTTGATGAGCTCATATAAAGATTTGCAACGCGATGAACTGAAACTCCTAATAATGGAATTGCAATGTGGAGATATGAAACAACTCACTGATAAGAGCTTTGGGAGTGGAAACATTTGGACTACTAATTTTTTCCACCAGTCTGGTCTGATTAGTGAACCACTTAATTAATTGATTCGGTAAGCAAGAATTGGAGAAGGCGTCTATGTACGAAATGGCTCTGGTATGGTCACAAATTCCCCTGAGGCAAACAAAAATCAGGATTTAAATCAGGTAGAGTTTTTTCAATGCAATGTTTTCAACTCCGCCGCTATCAGCTTCAGATTCCCATACCTAGCAAACTGTACAGCATTGTCTGCAACTAACAACCATGTCACAGCAAATTTTGTAAAGTAGTCACCAGGTAACTGAGTCCACATTTGAGATTTCAGAAATGAATACTCTACCAATATCACAACATCGTACAACACTTCTCGAAGAAGAACTTCATCCTCAATACTCTGCAGTAACAAAACAAAAAAAAATCTATCAGGGATGAAAATAAACACCAACATCAGTAGCATGTTTCTTTCCAATGGCAAGGGCAATTTGTTCTCCATACACATGATGTGCCCACGACACATGAACATGCACACACACACACACACCACATGAAGGGAAGGGATCGGTGAAATAATACCAACACATTTAAATTGGAATTTTGACTGTTCATGATGGTTAACAACCAAGTGTGACCAACTAATGAAATGCAACTAAGGAAATGGGGTTGGAATTGGGATTGTAGAGAATGGACAGACTTAATTGGATCAAATGAAGCCAGGGAAAAAGGGTAAAAATAATAATAATTTAAGCAAAAGGCATAGACATAGTACTGACCAATAAGGTGGTGACAGGCAAACTTGGCTCCAAAAGCATTCTGAGAAGAATATCTAACAGGAAGCACCAAGAAATCAGAAAGTATGCATATCAAGATGGATGTATAGACAATAACATAAAATCCTTTATGTAGAGCACCTAAAAGAAACTAATTTCTCCCTTAATGAGGGAAGCAAGATGTAAAAAAAAAAAAAATCATGAGAAACAATGTCCAGCACAAGAACCATAAAGTTTTAACCAATTAATTAACTGAGCAACATAATGTTCAGAGGAAACAACAGATACATGTAAAAAACACACTACACCCATTTTAGTCCCCAATTGATACATAATTGTTGAGTTTGACACACTGGTGGACCCAGAAATACAACATTTATTGATAACACTTTAGTACAGAAAACACTTGTACATAATCACACACTAATATACTTCACTTATCCACTCACACATACATTCAAGCACTCACACTTTGTGTCTTCCTCACACAAGACTTTGAGGCACCTCACACTAGATAGTGCTTGACCACTCACTTTGGATTCACTTTTCTTTCACTCAATTGTCCAATCACTTAGTACATGCACCTATCTCATATTTATATTAGTTAAAGAACTTTCTAGAATACACTCATATTTTCCCTACACTCTAGAACAATCTAGATTACTTTAGTACATATTAGAGTTTTCTATTCTTCTCTCAAATATTCTAGAACCTTCCGGAACTTTCTAGATTTCTCTAGTTTTCTCCAAACTTCTTTAATGTTCCGGAACCTTCTAGGATATTCTAGAATCTTCCGGATTTCTCTAGGTCTTTCCAGAATCTTCTAGATCTTTCCGAAGTATTTTAGATTCATGTGGAAACTTTTAGAATATTTCTAGAGAGAAGATTCTAGAGAGTGAGTAGAGTTAGTGATGACTCTCAACACTCCCCCTCAACACTAACTCTCATTTCTAGATTATGTAAACATGCCACATTGTTTCAAAAACTCTTCATGAGTATATCTGGGTCCACCAGTGAGTCCAAAGTGAGTAGTCAAACACTATCTAGTATGAGGTGTCTCAAGGTCTTATGTGAGGAAGACACAAAATGTGAGTGCTTGAGTGTAAGTGTGAGTGGATGGATAAGTGAAGTATATTAGTATGTGATTGTGTACAAGTGTTTTTGTGTACTAGAATATTATCAATAAAGGTTGTATTTCTGAGTCCACCAGTGTGTCAAACTCAACAATTTGGTATCAGAGCTTAGTCGTTCGAGGACTAACACGAAGAGCGATTGAGATTGATACAAGAGATTGTTGAGGTCAACGAGCACAGTTGTTATGGCGGATTTTGGAAACTTCATCGGTGGTATGGAGAAATTATATTATTATAATTATGATTATTGGCGAATATGCATCAAGGCATATCTTCAAGGACAAGATCTATGGGAGATTGTTCACGGCAAGAAAATTGCATCACCTAGAGAAGAAAATGCAGAGGCCTTGCGAAAGTGGTGGATTAAGACTGGAAAAGAGATGTTTGTGTTAAGGACAACTGTTCAGAAAGAGTTATTGGAGTATGTTCGAGAGGTTACTACTTCAATAGTAGTCTGGGACACATTTGTGGCGTTATTTTCAAAGACAAACGATGCACAACTTCAGTATCTAGAGAATGAGCTTGCAATGGTGATACAAGGATCAATGACTAGCAGTCAATATTTTCTCAAGGTAAAGACTCTTTGCAATGAAATTTCACAACTTGATCCTGAGTCAAAAATTAGCGAGTTGAGAATGAAGCACATTATTACTCGAGGTTTAAGATTCGAGTATGGTGGGCTTATGGCCGCTGTTAGAGGATGGTCCACTCAAGCATCACTGGTCGAGCTAGAAAGTCTATTGGCGAATCAAGAAACTCTAGCAAAGCAAATGGCTGGAGTCACATTGAAGAATGAAAGTGAAGAAGAGATGTTATTCAGTAGCAAGAAAAGAGCTGGAACGAAATGTCAAGAATATGAAAAATCAAAGAAAGAAGAAGATGAACAATCACAAAATGATCGAAGTTATTAACGAGGGGGAGTTCAACATGATGAAAATGATCGAAGAGCTACTAGATTTGGACGATGCAACATAGAGTGCTTCAAATGTGGCAAGATTGGTCACTATGCAAAAGATTATCAGTCAAGAAGAAGACCAATTGAAGGTAATATGGTAACATCTAATGGTTACCAAGATGAGAGTGAAGAAGAATGGCATTTCCAAACTTCATGTGCAATGTTCGAGATCGTGGAACCAGGTTACTTAGAAGAAGAGCCAGAATTTGAAGAAGAACGGGATTTTGAAACATCTCCTACAATGTTTGTGGTTACTAAAGCAGATTCAGAAGAGGAGATAGACTTCGATGAAGGCGTACATGAGCAGTACAATGCAGTTACCAAGGAAATGGATGCACACTCTATCACAGATAAGTTAATTCTTGCAATTGAGTCTCAGTCTTTAACATCAAAGATCTAGAAGCTCACCTACCAGAGAAGTTGGGGGAGCAAATAGAAGAAGAAGTTGAGGAAGTGACAAAGCTACAACAATCAATATCTGCAAGGCAATGTCAACATAATCCAAGATATGTTGTTGCAACCTTTGCTAAGATGGATGATATAAAGGAGCTAATAACATTTCAGGAAACAACAAAATTTAACAATTGAAGGAAGACAACAAAAGAAGATATTGATGCATCAACACATATTCAAACGTTGTACTCGCTATCTAAATTGGAGGATGAGAATCCTACAGCTGGCCAAGGACGTGGTGTTCCATGGAAGAATAAATCATTTCAAAAGAGAGAAGTCAATATTGGAAGAGATAAAGACAAAGTTTATCGTGGCAGAGGACCAGGGTGCAAATATACTCACGAAGAGTTTATGAAACAACATGGCATGGTTACATAATCTAGAAATGAGAGTTAGTGCTAAGGGGGAGTGTTGAGAGTCATCACTAAAACTCCTCACTCTCTAGAATCTTCTCTTTAGAAATATTCTAAAAGTTCCCACATGAATCTAGAATACTCCGGAAAGATCTAGAAGATTCTGGAAAGACTTTGAGAAATCCAAGAGATTCTAGAATATCCTAAAAGGTTCCGGAACATTAAAGAAGTTTGGAGAAAACTAAAGAAATCTAGAAGGTTCCGGAAGGTTCTAGAATATTTTAGAGAAGAATAAAAAACTCTAATATGTACTAGAGTAATCTAGATTGTTCTAGAGTGTAGGGAGAGTATAAGTGTATTCTAGAAAGTTTTTTAACTAGTATAAATATGAGATAAGTGCAACTAAGTGATTGGACAATTGGACAATTGAGTGAAAGAAGAGTGAATCCAAAATGAGTGGTCAAGCACTATCTAGTGTGAGGTGCCTCAAGGTCTTGTGTGAGGAAGACACAATGTGTGAGTGCTTGAATGTATGTGTGAGTGGATAAGTGAAGTATATTAGTGTGTGATTGTGTACAAGTGTTTTTGCGTACTAGAGTGTTATCAATAAAGGTTGTATTTCTAGGTCCACCAGTATGTCAAACTCAACATATATATACATTAAAAAAAATAGTAATACTATAAGTTTCAATTTGCAGTGAATATGAAAACAAAATGATAGTAATGACCAAGAAACTAGTGATACTAAAAAATAAAAGCATAGCTAACAAATGAAACTCCAATCCCCATACTGCCACTCCAATCATGAAACTTGCATTGTCTTTCACTGCCACCTACCATACACATTGAATTCACACAAGAAGCTAGCAATCTTCCCTGTTTGTGTACTTCACAACAAAACAAAACACATAAAATAAAATAAAAAAAGTTTTCCAAAATCTGTTTAATTATAGAAACAAATAGAAATCAGAAATAAAGTAGGAGGAAGGAAACAAAATAAGAATAAAAAAATACTTACAGAAAATATTTTCTGAGAATGATCAAGTCCAGTGTTCAACCATGGTTATCAGAATCCCGATCTGGATCTTACGATCCCTTTGAGTACAATCGATCCAGATCGTGTAAAAAATTCCTTATAGATAGGATCTTTCAATCCTGGTAATGGGATCTTATAGGATCGTGGAATCCCGATCCAAATCCGATCCTATCTGATCTAATTTACAAGTCTTCTTTTGTATTGTATGACATATTTTATTATAATTTTTTTGTTTGTTGTCTAGATACCAATTTATGTGATCAAAATAAATAATAAAAATTAAGTAGTATTGAATCAAATAGACTAAGAAAAACAATTAGGAAACAAACATTCAAATATTGCGGTAATTTAAGAAAATTAACTAATAGGAAAAACAAATTTAGCTTTAGTAGAGTCTAAGGAGGGTAAGATGATTGCAACTTTATCCCAATTTTTTGAGAGATTATTTTTGTGGTTCGAATCCCCTCCACCAAGGATGCTAACGACAAACCTTATCATTTGGTTAAGCTGCTCTTTTGAGTTCTTAATCTATTTTCATATCCAACTTTGTTAAATATTTTTTTCTTCACTTTTTATGCATTATTATAGATTGTAAAGTATTTTGTTATAGAATTCTTCTTCTTCATCTTCTTTTTTGATGAAATACAAAACTTTTACTATCGAGTTTTCTATTGTATAATATTATATGTACATTTTACATGGAGTATTATATTTTTCACAATTTCTTCATTTCTTTTTAATAGAATGTAGGCTCATTTTGTGTATACTTTTTAAGAAATATTTATTTAAATTAAATTATTATGTAATTTGTCTTTTTCGGTAGGATCTTACGATCCTCGATCCGATTCTACGATCCGGTCCTATAAACACCTCCAACGCTCCAATGTAGGATCCCGATTTTAACAACCTTGTGTTCAACACTGTCTCCTTAAGATAGATTCGTCTTATTTAGGGTGCTCATAGATTATGGACATTTATCTTCCAGGATGAAATGATCTACAACGAACGGTAACAGCGCTACAAACTATTCGTGCAACGAACACACTCTGTGTATATATTCTCTCTGAAGGAAAAGAAATGCAGAAATATGCAGGAGCTTTTTTGGTAAATGAAGAACGAAATCAGATTGCAAAATCCAAATGAGGGACTGACTATTTATAGAAGTAGAAGGTGGCTGTTCGGGTGAATAGTCAACAGGTATGAACCTGTTCGGGTTTGAACTACAGATATGGAACCTGTACAGAAAAGACTAAAGAGGTGCAAAGGCCTAACCGCCAAAATTTGAATTCAAACCGGTCAGAATTTATTTTCCAAACATAAATAAATAAATTCAAATGTTTTTTGACCAAACAGAATTAGTATTGGACCGGACAAGCCCAACCCAACCTCACACCACGCACCCGCGCCTAAGCCCAGCCCGCCAGCCCGACCGACCAGACGACGGCGCGTGTGTTTATTTTGGGTCTAATGGGTCTAACCCACTTTGCCCATAACCTCCCCCTCTACAAAACTTGAATGCCCCTTAGGGCCTACCCTAAGGTCCAAACTCAAAACTTATAAACCCATACAATGTTAGCCTAGCCAAGCAATATGAGACAAGCTTTCCTTCCTTCAATTTGGAAAACCCACCAAAACACTATTTTCATGGAGCTTACTTTGGCATCAATTTCCCATTCACCCGAAAGTAGTTTCGAACAACCAAATATACTACGTGAACTACAACGCGACATAGAACGCGCTACCACCAATACCTGCCATAACCGGTACTTGGGTCCTATTTATATTGTAGTCCAAATTTGACTAAAAATTATGTTTCAGTTCAGAATTTTCTTAACCATTTCTAACAGAATATACTCTTTGAGTACATAGTCAAATTGTGCAAATAACATATCATATACTGAAACCCCATTTAATTTGTGGACTGTTAATATGTATGCAACAGCTGTGCTTCAAGAAAAATGACAAGAGTTTTAAGTTTTCATACTAACTAAAGAGAAACACACTCGATTGACAGCTTGACAACAAGGAAGTAAATTGTTCAATTATGTAATAAGTGAACTATTCTCACCAAAAAAGCAGCAATTCTGAAACCCTGTTATAGTTTGAACAGCCCAATTTTGCATATCCTTCTGCAACTCTTCTCTTAAAACACTAGAACCGAACTTCAAACACAACCTCAGCAAAAAAACCTCAACCATAACAACCCCAGCCAAGTAGCCAGCTCTACACCGTACATTAACCCCACTACAAACCTCACCGCTAACAAGTGGAAGGAACACCCTCAAATCATCCCCAAATTCACAGTCCTCCCTAACTCTATCAACAGTCCAAACCCGAACCAAATCCACAAAACCATCGGTCAAATTATCCAACCCATTTTCCCATTCCTCCGAATACTTTGAGCAGCATATGATAATGTAGCAAACAATCTCTTCTACTACGCCCTCAATCTCTCTCTTCAAGCACAAATCCCCATCAAAACAGCCAAACACAATACAATACAACTCGTACACGACCGGGGCGAGTAAAGCAACCCTTTTTAACCCATTGTTACACGGACTCGAACACGAGACCAACAATTGAAACAAGTCCTTCACAGCTATCACTACTTTCTTCGAAGGGTTTTCGAGAATTGGCTTGACAGAGCTGTGAAATGTCACTGCCGAGTAGAACCAGGTGATCTCGAGTGGAGGATCGTTCATCTTCTGAACCAATCGAGAGAAAATCGAGACGAACCCAGAGAAATTTGTACAACCCTTTTTGTATTCCGCTAAGAAGTGATCGATTGATTCTCTCAGCATGAGTTGGTAGTCGTTTTCAGGTGGTTTTGGGGCGCTGATCGATTCGACGGCGATGTGGGTGTTCATGATTGGTGGTTTTGAAAGTGTTGGCAGATCGAATTGGTTGAAATTGAGATGGAATTTGAATTCTGAAGTGGCTTTGGTTTGGTTAACGGTTAAGCTCGAAACCCTAGTTTTGTGGTTTTGTCTTGGGAGTAGGCACAGATGGAGAGGGAAGTTATGTGGCCCTCTTTTTGTAACGGGCAACATTTTGAATTTGGTCCACCAAAATTATTATTTAAATTTTTTTTAAATTTTTTTATTAATCCAAAAGTTTACTCAAATTTAAATAAAAATTTGATTTGATATCATCATTCTAATTGTTTTATCAAATCTAACCGATCATTCGATCTAATGTAAATTTTTATCGAATTTTCTCCAATCTAATCATCTACTATGTTATAATTTTGCTTCTCCCTCCGGATTATATTTATTAAAGATATCCATTTTTTTTATAACCTCAAGTATTGAGATCCGAATGTAATGTTGTGAATACTCTTCTCTGGAAATTTCTTGGCAATCAAAAATCCAAAAGAAATTCATGTAATAAATAATAATTTATCATAAGAAAATCAAACTATTTAAGAAAATATACTAGAAATATGACTTTTTGCGACTATTTTTTTGTAAATGATAATTTGGCCGTTGCAAAAAATCAATTTTTACACCAAAATCTCGTTTTAATTAAACCCCAATTGTGTTCTTGACTTGAACAAAAAAAAAAAAAAAACCAAATTGTGTAAAACTTATCCCCTTTCACTCTTATTTCTCAAATCTGTCTCTTACGGTATGAAAACTCTCTCCCTCTCTCTCTCTCTCTCTCTCACTCTCTCAAAATCTCACTCTTCACTCTCGCTCGCTCAACTCTCTCTATCGACTCACCACTCTCAATTTTATTGTTCATTTGAACATTTCAATCAACTGTTGATGAAGATTTGAAGATTTTGATCGATTGTTGATGAAGATTTCAAGATTTCGACTTGCAGTTGATGAAGATTTCGATTGATTCATAATTGGTAAGCCTAATTTCTATATATGAATCCAACTCTCAGTCTCTGTAGTCCCTATATCGTTCTCTCAGCTCCCAAATTCTCTTTGGCTTATCGCGAAGATCAACATCAATTTAGAGGAAGTGGATTTCGAAGATCAACATGAAATTTTTCTAATTCAATTTATTTTTATCAAGGCTACGGAAACTTTGATTTCGAAACATGTTTTTTATTCGGAGATTCATTTTATTTTTTTATTTTTTTAAATTATTAAATCTCGATTTGCTTTGGCTACTTGATCTGAATCTCTAGATTGTTTGCTGAACTCTGATTTCAAAACAGATTGTTTGCTAAAAATCAGAGTATAGATGACTACACATAGGCTTTGATGATTTCTTACATTTTTGAGTCTTCTAGATTATCTCATTGTTTAATGGTGCTCAATTAAGTGATTACTGAGCAATTATGTGATGTTTTATGGTTTCTTTTCTTTTCTTTTTTTCCACTCAGAATGATATACCTATATCTATATATACACATAATATTACCAAAAGAAAAAGATATATACATGTATATTGATGATGAACAAAGAGAAGTTTGGTTAATTCTTTTTCATCATTTATTCCTTTTCTCCTTAATTGTTCTAGTTACAAATTATGATCAGCATTATTATGATTATAATTCATTATACTTCTTTATTGTAATATCATATATGAATAAAAACAAGTGAAAATGGTTGTACTTTACAAATTGACCCATTATGAGCCTTAATTTCACTGTTTTCTATAAAACCATTCAGAACATGAACTTGCTCCACCATTTTTTGTTTGTTTATAACATCCAAACACACCAAATGCTCAATGAACTATTTTTTCCCATAGCTTGTTGCCTGTGTCATACTTAGTTTGATATCTATCACTTTGACAGTCCCAAAAGTAGAAGTAGCCAACCTAAACTAGTAGCCAATCTTATGAATATGGAGGTAAGAGCTTTCCGGTACTGCCGGTGTCCTATTATTGAATGGAACATACAATTATAAAATACTCTTGGACAAGGCAAAAAAATATAGCAGAAGAATTTCAAAGCTGTCAACATAAAATCAATTTATTACCAAAAATTATGCAGAGATGAAGTAAAAAGAAGAAATTGATGAAAGATGACAATGCTGAAAGCATATAATAGTTTTCAATTTCAATTTAGTTTAATGATGCTCAGAAGTAATTTAGATCTTGAATTAAACAATGAATACTTGTTACTGATATCTTTCGCTCTTGTTTTTGAATTTGAATTCGATTCATATAGCTAAATGCATAGAGTATTGAATATTAGTATGCATAGGAAATACACATCTTTTAAAAAATTTTAATTTGTTCATCATTTTTTTAACTGGATCAATATTGGCTTGTATTTTCTTATCTCAGTTGATATATTCGTGAGGGCTTTGCACACTTTTCTCTGTCCTTACTCTACACTAAGTAGGCCAACTTTTGATTTGGATTAATTTCTTATGCTAGGTAAAATTTACTGCTATAGTTCGATTTGGTCTCAAACTGAGGCTTACTATACCTAAATAGCCTGACCTTGAAACGGCACACAGGGCACAAAGGATGAGGTTAGGTTTATGCAAACTACTGTTGCTGTTCTAATCATGCCTTGTTGTACTGGACATAGTTTTATCCAACAGGCTGATAAATGCACATTTGATGTTAATTTCAGGCCAAAATCTACTACCGAACCTGAACGTGTAACATCAACCATTCGTAAATTCAAAGCACTTCCATTGAACAGAAAGGTTCGTTGCTATGGTTAATGAAAATTACATATTTATCAAAGGTTCACTATGCTGTTTGTATTTCACTAAGATGTTATGCTTATAACTTACAAATTCTTGAGGCTTCGCCATCGTTACTCCCAAAAAGAAGCACTTCTCGATTGCCAAAGTTTTAAGTGCATGCTCAAACTCGTGTACTGCTTGTGCATCTGTGCATATACAAATATCATTGTTTTGAGTCTAGGTTTGGGCCATATCTGGTGCAAATAAAATCTCTTGCCACTTTGTGTGGCTTAAATATTCCTTCATCATGTTCCTTCTCAGGAATTTCACTTGAAGACGCTGCAGAGGGCTATGCAACACACATCTGCAGTTTCATCATCCTCGGTTTCTTGCAATGATACTGATAAGGTTTGTGATTGAAATTATCAAAAAAAAATATATATTGTGATTGAATTTAATGGATACTTAAGTATACTCTAACACAATTAATATATTGTGTCCTTGATTGCGACTCTTGTGCCTAAGAAGGATACAACCCAGTTCGAAAGAATTCCTTGTGTAACTGTTCTGCAATTGTGTTCTATTGGTTCCAATTGTTGCACAAACCTAGTACTAATGCAATTATAGAAAATGCAAATGGAGAATCCAGAAGGTAATACTATTATCTTTATTACTACTGAAGAACAAGAAGTCTGAAAATATTGGGGAATACTAATCTTCCTTCATTCTATTATTCACACATAATAATGAAAGCAAGACCAAATAAATAGATTACAGAGGAGAGACCCTTCCAAAACAGAGTATTACCTAGATGGAATGGAATAATCATAGAGCTGGTATGATTATCTTCTTCCCTACATAATTCCTAAATCAAATATAATAAAAGCTGTATATTACACTAATTAAGGAAAGTCACTAGGATGCTAAATATGGAGAAAATATGCACAGCCATATGGTGTGCATTTGAAAACAAGAGCTTGATTTCTAACACTCCCCCTCAAGCTGCGTTGTAAATGTTAATCATTCCCAGTTTTTCTGTCAAATCTTCGAAGTTAACTCGAGGAAGAGCTTTCGTAAGAATGTCAGCTTTTTGACAGTTTGTTGGAGTGTAGCTGACTTGGAAAACTCCTTCTTCAATCTTTTCCTTGATAAAATGACGATCTATCTCCACATGTTTAGTTCGATCATGATAAACCGGATTCTTAGCGATACTGATGGCGGCTTGGTTGTCGCAATATAACACCATGGAATGCTCAAATGGAACTTGTAATTCTTCTAACAGCCTGTTCAACCATATTCCCTCGCAGATACCTTCTGCCATAGCACGAAATTCTGCCTCAGCACTACTACGGGCTACCACTGACTGTTTCTTGCTTCGCCATGTAACCACGTTCCCCCAAACAAATGAACAATAACCAGAAGTTGATCTTCGATCAGTCACTGAACCGGCCCAATCGGCATCTAAAAAAATCTCAATTTTTCTCTTTGTTGTTCTTTGGAAGAAGAGTCCCTTTCCTGGTGTCATTTTTAGGTACCTCAATATTCTGGTCACAACAGTCATGTGTTTTTCAGTTGAATTATTCATGAATTGACTTACCACACTAACAGAGAAGCCGATGTCTAGTCTTGTATGAGAAAGATAGATGAATTTTCCCACAAGACGTTGATATCTCCCTTTATCACTAGGTGCACTACCGTCACTTTCTTCTAGTTTGACAGTTGTGTCCATAGGTGTTTCTGCCGGCTTGCATCCTAACATCCCTGTTTCATTCAGTAAGTCTAGAACGTATTTGCGTTGCGAGACTGCTATACCTTTCTTTGACCTAGCAATCTCCATTCCAAAAAAGTACTTAAGGTTGCCAAGATCCTTAATCTCAAATTCCTTTGTTAGGAATTTTTTAAGTAAGTCAATTTCCTCTTCATGATCACCTGTTAGAATTATATCATCCACATAAACAATGATAATTGCCAATTTCCGTCCTAGGGAGTGCTTCACAAATAATGTATGATCAGAATGACATTGAACAAATCCGTACCCTTTCACTGCCTTAGTGAACCGTTCAAACTAGGCCCTGGGAGATTGTTTGAGACCATACAAGGATTTTCGGAGTCTGCAAACTTTGTTGAAATTGGATGTCGTCTCGAGTCCAGCAGGAATGTCCATGTAAACTTCTTCCTCTAAGTCACCATTGAGGAAGGCATTTTTCACATCAAGTTGGTGAAGTGACCAATCAAGATTGGCTGCCAAGGATAAAAGTACACAAACAGTGTTGAGTTTGTCAACGGGAGCAAAGGTTTCTTGATAGTCAATGCCATAGGGTTGGGAGAATCCTTTGGCGACCAACCGAGCTTTATACCGTTCCACATTACCATCTGCCTTGTATTTTACTGTGAAAATCCACTTACACCCAACTGGTTTC